AAGGTCGGTGAGCAATGGGGAAAACCAGCTGAGTTCCCGAAATATGCCAGTTACATTCCTTTGACCTTACCCAGGTCTCAAATCCTGGCACAAATTCAGCATTGGGTTCGGAGACCTCCACCCCCGTTACATGATTCCCCGAGGGCAGATAAAAGCAAGCATTGTGACTACCACCGTGTATATGGTCACAATACCGAGGACTGCCAACACTTGAAGGAAGAGTTAGAGTTTTTGGCTCGTAACGGGAAGCTAGAAGGGTATGTCCAGAAGCCTCACACCCAGCAACCTACTCAAACCCATTTTGTGCAGGCGTATGACCGACCTCAAGGACAGAGGTACCAGCATGGGGGGACGCAGGATGCATATCAGGATAACCAGTATCCTTCTGAACAAAGCAGAGCGTACCGAGGACGTCCTTTCAACAGGAGAGGGCAGGGACCAAGAACTACTGCCCCTAATCAAAAAGACAGAAAAGGGGTAGGTTATACTAGGATACCCCCACCTTCTGGTACAATAAACATGATATCGGGTGGTGTTCACTCAGGGGGCCAAAGCGCCCGAGCTCGCAAGGCATATGCTCGACAGTTGATGACCGTCAACAAAAACAGACCATTGAAACAGCCGTTTGAGGAAGCAGAATGGGAAAATGCGCCCATTACATTCAGTCCGGCAGATTACAAGCTAGCAGAAGGGGAGTCTGACATTATGATGCCCCACGCAGATCCCTTTGTGACAACAGTTCATATAGGCAATCATAATGTCAATAAGGTGTTTATTGACACTGGCAGTTCGCCAGATATCCTGTATTGGGGTTGCTTCTAGAAGATGCAGCTAAATCCGAGCTCGCTGCAGAAGCACAAAGGGCCAATATACGGGTTTGATAACCAGCCCGTCCCTGTCGAGGGAGTTATTACTCTACCTATATATGTGGGCTCAGAACCGCGCTTCAGGATGGCTTCGGTCACCTTCCTGGTCGTCAAGATGGAATCAACTTTCAATGCTATACTAGGAAGGGCCACCCTGTGCGAGCTGAAGGCTGTTATCTCACAGCCCCACCTCTGTATGAAGTTCCCAACTCCGCAGGGGGTGGGAGTGCTGAAGGGGAACCAGAAGATGGCCAGGGCGTGTTATCAGGACACGTTTAAAAAGGTTGAGCTCGTTGTAGCCCATGGAGGATCTGAAAGTAGTAGGCCGACTCAGCTCGGCCAGCAGACAATGAGCATAGCGGACATTGAGCATAGACCTGAGGGTGTCGAGCAAAAAGCAGAGCCGGTAGAGCCAGTGGAAACTGTTCCTTTAAACCCTGATATGCCGAAAAGAACAGTAAAGATAGGCACCAAACTCACGGAAGAAGAACGAGTAGACCTTATGGAGTTCTTGAGGGTCAATCAAGATGTGTTTGCATGGACTACTGATGAAATGCCTGGTATCCCGGCAGAGTTAACAGTCCACAAACTCAGCACAGATCCTACCAGAAGGCCGGTGGTGCAGAAACGTCGCCTTTTTGGCCCTGAGAAGCAAGCTGCCATT